GACAGTGTGGTTGAGTGGATTTCCCACATTAGTAACAGCCTGACAGTGGGTGGCACATCGGATAATGCACCTGCAGCCTTTCACCAAGAAGGCTGGGCTTGACTCCCTGATTATACTTTAAAAGTAATAGGTCACCTGCCCGACCACTCACTTTGACGCTGACCCACACTGACAGCATTACACTAACCTTTAACCTCGGCCTACAATGACAGCATTACACTAACCATGAACTTGACCCACACTGACAGCATTGTAACACTAACCTTGCCCCTGACCCTCACTGACAGCATTGTAACACTAACTTTGACCATGACCCACACTGACAGCATTGTAACACTATCCTTGACCCTGACCCACACTGACAGCATTGTAACACTAACTTTGACCCTGACAGCATTGTAACACTAACCTTGCCCCTGACCCTCACTGACAGCATTATACTAACCTTTAACTTGACCCACACCGACAGCATTACACTAACCTTTAACCTCGGCCTACAATGACAGCATTACACTAACCATGACCTTGACCCACACTGACAGCATTGGAACACTAACTTTGACCCTGACCCACACTGACAGCATTATAACACTAACTTTGACCATGACCCACACTGACAGCATTGTAACACTATCCTTGACCCTGACCCACACTGACCCCATTATATTAACCTTTAACTTGACCCACACTGACACCATTATATTAACCTTTAACTTGACCCACACTGATAGCATTGTAACACTAACCTTGACCCTGACCCACACTGACCCCATTATATTAACCTTTAACTTGACCCACATTGACAGCATTACACTAACCTTTAACTAGACCCACACTGACAGCATTACACTTACCTTTAACTTGACCAACACTGACAGCATTACACTAACCGTTAACTTGACCCACACTGACAGCATCACACTAACCTTTAACTTGACCCAAACTGACAGCATTACACTAACCTTAAACTTGACCCACACTGACAGCCTTACACTAACCTTTAACTTGACCAACAATGACAGCATTACACTAACCATGAACTTGACCCACACTGACAGCATCACACTAACCTTTAACTTGACCCACCCTGAAAGCATTACACTAACCTTGAACTTGACCCACACTGACAGCATTGTAACACTATCCTTGACCCTGACCCACACTGACCCCATTATATTAACCTTTAACTTGACCCACACTAACAGCATTACACTAACCTTTAACTTGACACACACTGACAGCATTACACTTACCTTTAACTTGACCAACACTGACAGCATTACACTAACCTTTAACTAGACCCGCACTGACAGCATTACACTAACCTTAAACTTGACCCACACTGACAGCATCACACTAACCTTTAACTTGACCCACCCTGAAAGCATTACACTAACCTTGAACTTGACCAAAACGGACAGCATGGTAACACTAACTTTGACCCTGACACACACTGACAGCATTGTAACACTAACCTTGACCCTGGACCACATTGACAGTATTGTAATACTAACCTTGACTGTGGCCCACATTGACAGTATTGTATTACTAACCTTGACTGTGGCCCACATTGACAGTATTACACTAACCTTGACCCTGGACCACATTGACAGTTTTGTAACACTACCTTGACCCTGGACCACATTGACAATATTGTAACACTAACTTGACCCTGGACCACATTGACAGTTTTGTAACACTAACTTGACACTGGACCACATTGACAGTTTTGTAACACTATCTTGACCCTGGACCACATTGACAGTAATGTAACACCTACCTTGACCCTGGACCACATTGACAGTATTGTAACACCTACCTTGACCCTGGACCACCATGACAGTATTGTAACAGTAACTTGACCGTGGCCCACATTGACAGTAGTATAATACTAACCTTGACCGTCGCCCACTTTGACAGTATTGTAACACTAATCTTGACCGTGGCCCACACTGACAGTTTTATAATACTAATCTTGACCGTGGTCCACAATGACAGTATTGTAATACTAACCTTGACCGTGGCCCACATTGACAGTATTGTAATACTAACTTGACCGTGGCCCACATTGACAGTATTATAATACTGACCTTGACCGTCACCCACATTGACAGTATTGTAACACTAACCTTGGCCGTGGCCCACATTGACAGTATTGTAACACTAACCTTGGCCGTGGCCCACATTGACAGTATTGTAACACTAACCTTGACCGTCGCCCACTTTGACAGTATTGTAACACTAATCTTGACCGTGGCCCACATTGACAGTATTGTAACACTAATCTTGACCGTGGTCCACATTGACAGTATTGTAATACTAACCTTGACCGTGGCCCACATTGACAGTATTGTAATACTAACTTGACC